ACTTCCCCCAACCTTACCTTGAGCAGTGTGCTTGGTGGCTGGGGGTGTGCAGTCGCTGCCAAGGTTATTGGTGGAGTGCTGCAAAAGGGCGTTTCGCCACACCTCACCTAGCCCTTCCACCAATGACCTTGGCAGTAACAACCCACTAGTACCGGCTAGTAACCCCACCGTTGTGTCATTAAGTGAACCTAAGCTTCTATTTTATCACTTGTCTTTCAACAAAGGGCCTTATTAATTTTTGATTGTTCTTCAGCGCTTACATTGAACGTTAGCTCTTGGGTATGTAATACAGTTGTTCCCTCGTGCTCAGAGGCGTGCCACTCAACGAGAACTACCAATCATGAGGTGAGTTGTCGGACGTAGTGAAGTCATGATGTTCCAGTGCACGCTAGGCAATAGTTTGGCAGGTCTTCAAGCAGAGGCAGTCAGGACAATAAAGTTTTAGGCTGTTGTGATAAAAGACAAGACCATATAAGTGATCCAAGAAGATGATTCGCATTGCGCATCCAGGTTACGCAGTGCCGTCGAAAACTTCCTTGTTGTACATCGTACATCAGATTCTCGCTCTTACACGATTTTCCCCGATATTCAGGCAACAAGGCGGCACTTAGGTGGACGAGAACCCTTCAGGAGGACATTACTGTAACATAATGTCTCACAGCAGTTAATAACAACATAGCCGATTGGCGCGGCCCCTCCCATCCACAGATTACTGGAAGTTCACTTGAAAGTGATTGCTAACGAAGTAATTGATTATAAGTAAGATATAATATGTCATGAGTAGAACCAGATTGGGCTGATTAGTCGCGGCGGACTCGTTCCAATTATGCAAACTGCAAACCGGATAAAAGTAGTCGACCCAGCAGAAGACCTGTGAATGAGCGGGGGGTGGAGTGGAGCGGTCAGTCAGAGAGCTCCGTACGAGTTTTTTTTCAGTGGATTAGATCGATCAGTCGACGACCCAAAGTCGCTGATCAGTTTGTCATTGACGACCGCGGTCAGACTGGCCCATATCTGCTACCGAGAAATGTTGCGCTGCGGATTCGTCGTCTTGTCAGGTGACCTAGTTATGCACTTCACGTCTACCGAAATCTTTCTTGAGTTCTTCACTACTCCCGCGTCACCAATAGATTCAAAGCCCACTAGAGCCATTATGTGTTACCGTACTATCATACCGTAATGATTTCCTTTTGATAGAACTACAGCACACTTCCTTCCCAGACTATCTATCTCCCTTGAACTTTTTCGAAGTTTCTTTCATAGTACTTTTCTCAATGTGTTTTTGAAAAGGTGCTATGGTCAGTTTACTTCAACCAGTGGGTCGATCTCAAGACTCTATTTAGCTTGATTCATGAGAGATTTTCATCGTGCTGAGTCTTTTGGTCTTTCTATGACAAGCTTTTCCGAGAAATCTTTTCTTTTGGTCTATAAGGATAATAAGTATAACGTCATCAATCAGACCTTTTTTTGGATGCGGCCCGCATTCTACTCCCATTCAGAATCGTAGTGGCACACTGAATGCGATGTGGCCTATACAATGACTTGCGGGGCCAGCCGATGTACAAGTCAGTGTTTTTATCCTCCCAGACGAATCTGGTACCAATTTACCGTTCCCGAAAGATAGAAGCACTCCTTGGCCTGGGCGCGAGCCTATCCGGGACTAGCCTCCTGCTCGTGGTGTGTATACGATGCCTACGCCTTTGAGTCAGCAATGAGTAAGCTCGTAGTTGTAGCGGTGTTGTGAAATTGTGTTGTGAAAATTCTTCTTCAGAAAGTTACTATTCAGTAATCCTCTTGTGCGACTGCTCGATCATACCACGTTCTAAGCGACAGACGTACAAATATGATGAAGAACTTCTTGCTTATGCACATCCGCATCCGGATACCAAAGTAAAGCAAGGTTACTTGGCACGATATGCACCTCAGGACTGGCCCAAATGGTGAGTTCCATCTCTGGTTTGATAACCAAACATTCCGTTTTCTTCGTTCCACTAAGTGCTTTTACCTTATCCCTCAAATGTTTACTTGTTACCAGTTTTCTGTACAGTCATGCACTTCATCTTGGACAAAAAAGAAAAATTGGGCTAAGTATCAATATTTGATCAAATTAAGCCATACCAGACCCGGCATTGCCCTCACTGTCATTAAGAAACCGTCTAGTATTCCTGACTATAGTTGATAACGCCGCAAGCAGTCGAGGCGGTGCAGAAGAGGCGTTAGCCTCTCTTCGGCTGTTTTGCTCTACCAATAGTGATTGTTCGGAGATCGATTTGAAAGTAAAACAACCAGTGGTGAAAACGCCGCGGGTGAGCTCATTCCATCCTTATTGATACTGCACCGACTGATTGCTACGACATCAACTGTAGTTGACTTTACAATTAAACTCTAAAACCATTGTGTCATATCAATACACGTCCTACTGCTTTATTCAATGGTCTTACATCGATGTAAGCTGCCATAACGTTTTTGGTTCAAGGCTAAGAGCTTTGTCTAGTCAAATAGCTAGACTATGGCTTGAGCAGCATACCGTACCTCGGATATCCTTGATAAGAGCACCGCTAAACGCCATGTTGTAATGTGCTGCACTCTTTTTCCCCATATATCATTGAGCTACTGTAACTCAATTTTAACCTGTTCTGGTCTGCCCTAAATCGATGGAAAGATGGCGTACACTGGGAAGCAAAAAGTCGCCGATCTGTTTGCAGTTGTACTATATTGTCATAGTTAATACTAGCAGTAACCTTCGGTTCCCGCGATTTTTGACTGAGCCTCTGATAAAGATAACCTAGTCAAAATTCCTCGGAATTAATTAACATATGGCCTTGCTTCCATTCCTCCGAATGATTCAGGAATGTTTGACTAGAAAGGGCGCGACAAGCAGCTCACGTGGCTATGGTCAAACATGGCTGGCCGTGTTGCGTGTCTGTTGCGTGCAGATTGTATGTCGAATAGCGGGAGGAGACAGAATGAATAACAAGCTATTACAAGCCCCTACAAAGCTCCAACAACGCGCACTTTCCTATGACAGTAAGGCGTCACAACACGGCTGTGGACCTGCGCCAGGGCACATCATTGGCTGAGGATTTCGGTCAAGTTCGTACGACTCCCCCCCCTCCCCTAAAAGGTGACTTGGCACGACACCCCCCTACCTCCCTCCTCATCGATTTGTCGAGGGAGGGGGAGGGGGTTCTGCCGATGTGAAACACGACACGACGAAAAACCGCTAGGGAAATACGATCACCCTTACCCCCTACCCTACCGACCAGTTCCTTAGATCTTCCACCTTCCTACCAATTCTACAAAATTTCCCGAAAGTTTTCCGCGAGCGGGGAGGGGGCGAAGGGGCATGTGTAGCACATATGAAGCAAGAAAATCCACGAAAAATCAACAACCTCCCTCAGAAGTCCAGAAGGCAAGCATGACCCCTCCCCCAACGCCCAAATACGCCCCCCCCCTCCTAATGAGAAATCCCGAGGATGATGTGTCCTGCCTGCGCGCCTTGTACACACATAAGAAGTAACCATCTCTTGGAGGAACCCAACAAGAAGCACTTGCTTCGCGTTTTCCCTTCACCACAAGAGATACTCCGTTGATACGAACTCTTATCAAACATTACGGTTACTTTTTACTTTATAATTTTTGTTCCAACTATCACAGAAGAACTGCATCAGACTGCATGTCTTCACAACGACGGTAGGAATTTTTTTCAGGTATGCACGAACTATGATGCAATGGGATGGAATATCAGTATTATCGCCCTACGATTCAAACGACGTACGCTACCCGGCTTGGCATGCGGCCAGACTCAAAGGAGCTCGTTAGGGACCATTGCAGTAGGATTACAGAACATCTCGCTGTGATTTTTTATCACAGCCTTGTACATTATGTCTTTCAAAATCACCTGCTCTCGAGTAGTTGTCATCATGTTTGTACCATTGCTGCCATTCCTCATCGACTGATACTGTTTATGAATCCCTAATAATCGAAATATAAAGATTCAATAGACAATCTAGCGTATCTTCGGAAGGAGCGGGAAGCCACAGCTAATTCAGTCATCAAAAGGTTGGTTCAGCGGTAACCACTGACTACACCTCTTAGGCAAAGGGCAGTGTTAGTGGTATAAGCCACGACAGTTTGGTACCTGGACGAGTATACAGCAAGCTTTGGACGAGTTACTCGTTGGCATCGTGCCAGCAACAACTTTGGTTGTTACTGCTGCACGTAGGAGCCTGCCAACGGGAACAATATTCTTTCGTGCAAAGTATATCGACCCTGTGCACCTTGTCGATTTATCGTGCCACTTGCGTTCAAAGGCTTCACCACTCTGAAAAGAGTAACTGTTCAAGCTTTGGGTAAGGCTCTAAACCAATGTCGCCCTTCGCTGACCGGTATACTGGTATTGGAAGACGTGTATCGGATGCAGCAGGTTACCGTCGAATCTAGAGCCTTCGAGAGATGTGGACTAGATTTGGTCTGGTCTGGGTTAGCAATCGCTGGTTCGCCTTGAGCAGGATTTTTGTTTCTTAGGTGGTAGCTCTCACCTACGGATGAGACTGACTAACGGTCGTGGGGTTAGGTCAGCTGAACCCACCCATGGGGAGTCAGTTTAGCGGTGGTCTCAACAAAAACCTGCCGTACATTCAAGGTGAGTCATGTTGTGGTTGTAACCTATGACAGGTTTCTGGACCCTTCTGGTCTGGGGTGAACTTACCTGAGGTTTGAAATGATGTTTGAGGGATAGTTTCACCCTGATCTTTGATTTTTCCAGGCTCTGACGAAGGCGATAAGGCCGAAACGTAAGCCAAATAAAACTGTTGTATCATCTTGGTTCGGCTACAGTAATATCCTAGACAGAAGCTCACAATATGCCAAGATTCATGGAGGGTCGAACGTGGATGCTTATGAAAGACTGAGTACTACTGATGTTACTGGTTAACCACACGTTATTTCCGACTGTTACGCAACAATAGCTTTATTAATTGTATCTCTTTTGATATGGTTCAGTAGTAACCAGCTGGGTTTTGCTGTGGCACATATTGTGGCGCAGGTCGGGGTGGCACTGAAATACCGAACTTGTATTACTTTATAGTATACTAGTATTACTTTTTCCGAGAATTAATCGGTATAAGCTAACTTACTCCAGAAGACAGGGAGCGGAGGTTGATGGCCAAAGAAGGGATACTCGAAAGGTCGTGGTCCATAGAAGATATCGAGGAAATCTGGATGGTGACGTCCACCGCGAACGTTGGCGGGAACAGCACTGAATTGGTTCAGTGTTAGGAGGTCCTACTACTAGATATTTGTTGTAACGTACTTGTTAAAAGTTGGAGGAAGATATACCACGGGCTCTGGGACAGCCATTGAAGGTTCGTAAACAGGTGAATTCGAAGGAGGTTGGTAAGGCATCGCCGCAGCGGCTGCAACCAATCCAAGTGCAATAAGAAGCATTCTGAAAAAGAAAAGCTTATCAAATCAAGGTGTGGCATAACAGTATAGTAATTCGGGCGATTACGCTAGCACCAAGTTTGCACGGAGTCCCTCAAAGCAACAAATTCGACTAACTTAGTTTATGACCCGTTTCCTTGAATCTTTTTTCTGTGTTGAACGGCATTCAGTAATCGGAGATGCGAATAAGTTATTCTGAGCTAGGGTTGAAGAGCTTCAAAGGTAGTGGACCCGATGCATGGGGGCGGGCCGATACTGCCAACGTCATCGGTGGAAGGGCTTGAAGGGATGTAGCCAAACGCCCTCTCGCAGTCCTTCCATCAATCGTGTTGGTCATATCCACTCACCTCCAACCATCGTGTTCACTGCCTTTGAAGACCTAAGACACGATAATTTGGTACTCGGTCCGAATGGATAGCAGGGGTCCCATGTAATGGGAAAGTGTTAGAGTAAAACGGTCAAAAACCTACAAAAAAAGGTGTTTTACACGACTTGGAATATAACGATATGTTGCAGCTTGATAGGACGTTGTGAGGGCACTTTCCTTTGAGAAGGCGCCAAGCTGAGTGTGCTGAGGGGCGCCGAATTCTGTCCTAGTGGAAGTTAATCCTCCACGTCTTGGGAGTTTATCGGGCCATCTGCCTTTACCCGAGCACAGAAGGAGCTTCAGAAAGGTGAACTTCTCCCCTTACGCACAAAGGTGTCAAGCGATACGATAGTCACAATCAGGAGGGAAACCAATCTTTCTGGACTCGTACATGAGTTCTAACTTGCAGTGGTTTACGAGCTCAAGGCGGGATCGAGATATCTGTCGAGACAGGGTTACGCTGAAACCATTCCAACTCTCCTCACAAGTGTACACAAGATGCCTCATCTCCTGGTGGAACGGCGCTCTATTTGAGCGAACAAGAACGCCTTCGTATAGTGAGGCTGAAGGACGAAAACTACTACGTCCACTTTTTGAATTCGTCCTTGTTCCTGCAGTCTGACCCTAGCAGCTCATGTAGCGATATGGTCAGAGGGCTAAGTATTATGTAGGTTGGCCCATAAGTAATGGCGTTTTTTCCTCATTCAAATTTTTATACGGAAAATGACAATTGTTTTCAATATGTTCTACACTGTTTGATAGATAATTTTCCGCACTATAAGATAGTATAATTGCCTTCTTACTATTTCTCGACTTGTGTCGATTTTTATTTCATTGAAAGGGAAATTCGGGTCGACCCAAAAGTGAGTTTTCGACAACTACTTTTGAATTTTATCAGTTTACAGAAGAAGCTTAAACCTTGCGATATATATGACCAGAGAAAGAGGAAAGCTTGAAGTTGGTTCAAGCGATCAAGAGGTGGAATTCGGACCTTGTAAAAGAGCATCGCGTGGGGGCCCTCTTGGGGAGGGACTGCCTGCAGAACCTACCCACTTATTTTTTTATTTTAACGTCAGACATCAACTGAGGGTGGTGGTTGATAATTAATGATAAGGAAGCATTCTATGACCTCTAACGATCCCTCAATCTTTGGCATGATTCTCAGTTAATAAGGTAATTCCGTAAGCTCTCAGTTGGACAGAATAGGGCATTAGGTTCGATGCTTGTCTGTGAGGTCGAAACTGAAATCTTCGAATCACTTAAAGTAATTAGCATTTCTAAGAGACATAGCCTTCAGCCATATACTTAGCAACTGGGCCCATGCGGTTTTAGCTTTTTAATTAGAGGTGTAAAAGAGAGGCTGTCGAAAATGCTCAATTTCGTCGACCTGACACTCCAGTTTGAGCACTTAAATATTAATGGAGAAGAGAAACTTCACGAAATAAGAAGACTATCGTGTAGGGCAAGGAATTCTCTGCAGAAATGATATAAAGCTCAATGGCAAAACTTTTCTCCTTCTTGCGATATTTCAAGTGGAAAAAACGCCATTACTTATGGGCCGACCCAGTATATGATCCGTAGGCTACAGAAGGAGACGAAGGTCACTAAAAAAGGGTTTAGTGCCCGCAGTGTTTCAGAAACCCTGGCTACACTGCACACAGTGCACCGCTTTGTTGGAATGGCTCCGCACCTTAAATTATCTTGGAGCTCCTTTTTATAGGATGGCCAGAATGGAGGGAAGACTTTTTTGAGGCCTATCCACTGAGAAGTTGGTTTCGGAAAAATTCAATAGAAAGGGAAAAGAGACCATTGAAACTGAAGGCGTTGATACGTTAGAATCGAATGGTCTGACGATCGTTTTATACAAGCTGCTTCAATGATGTTTCTCCTAATGAATATCCTTACCATAACATTTCATTATTCAACAGAAACATTTCTCGGCCTTTGAAAATGTCTTCAACGAAAACACGACCTAAGGAGATTGCTAATCAAATTATCTTAAATACCATAGCCTTGTAATCATAATGATTTGTGATTTGAGGCAGTTTCCCCCGCTCATTTTGACACGAGTGCGGTAGTGGGCGCGCTCAGTTCGCAGGATTCCTCCATTGCTAAAGTAGTAAGACGTGATCGTCCCCTTGTCGCGGCTCCACAATGAGCGGAGAGGGTGGTGTCACTCATAAGTTGCAGCTATGTGCAGTGCGGTATATCGAACCAGTCTCCTTCCGCGTGTGAAGTGGGTCCCTGTGAAAAGTTTTCCATGTGAGGGGGGGGGGGCAGTCGGTACCCATCCCAACCTTGACCCGCCCCCTGAGACTGGCTCTTCAGGTGATTCCGAATTTCCGGACAGACAGACAGACAGACAGACAGACAGACAGACAGACAGACAGACAGACAGACAGACAGACAGACAGACAGACAGACAGACAGACGTCGCCGTTTATATATAGTAGGATGGTATACGTATATAACTGCAACTTATCCTATGTTAAACCGTACAGGTATACCGTACAAGTATACCGTAACCAATTATCGCCGCAGTGCACTCGTCACTCATTGTGGAGCCACAAAAGAAGGACAGTCTTCGCGTTCAGTCAGTCATTTGGGCGAAGCAGGAATTCTATGATTGGGTCGAGGGCGGTATTTTTTTTGAAGAGAGGCATGACTTGTGGGCACATGTGGATTCCTTAATACATATGATTTTTTATGAACTAAAAAATTAATATATCAGTAGTAACACATCAGCAAATCAATAAGAAATTTTTCTGCGATACTTTCTTCCAGCGATCAGCAAGATGTCGGTTTCGGTTCATTCATCCAGGATTTCATCAGCTGCAATGCAATTATGTCTTTCACTTGAATGTCAACATCGTCTCACCTGAACATATTTTAGTTTCAATGCATCATTTCATGAAGCGGAACTGCTGCACCGACAGTGTGAGTTCCAAGAAAGTGAAACTCTGCTGCAGTCAGCACACCCTCGCATTTCCTCCTTCACTACACCTTTCGAATCTCCTATTTGCCCCCTACAGACTTTTTTCGAATATTTGCCGTCGAGTGGAGGGGAGGGACACACCTCTGATCAACTACTAGGGTAGTAATGTTGTCGCAGCGCTAAGTAAAGTTGGAGAGGGGTGTATACAGCATACGTATAAGAAGGAAAGCAGTCGGGAAACATTCCTCCGAGGTGACTTCCGATGGTCTTCGCACAACCATGGTTGCACCCTGGTACCCTATTTACCTGGTTGTAGATCCTTCAAAGATGTGGTGGAACAGGCGAACCAGGAGTGTGGGCATCTCGAAGAGGAGGGAGACTGTGGCATTCCATAAGTGAAAGGCTTTTTTGTGTGAAGTCACAACTGTCACTGAACGCCATGTAGACGACTGATAGCCGACAAGAGCAGAAAATTGACGAAAGGAAGGGGAGTGAGTTCAGGTTATCCATAGACGCGGCAGAAATGTCACGAATGTACAATACCCGTGTCGTCTGTCCCGAGCGGGAGGATGTCGTCGCGACTAATCAGAAGTTTCCATAGGATTTTCAGCTGTGAATAAAGAAAAGCCAAGAATGCTGACTTGTGTGTTGCCTTTACGGTCAGCAGCTCTTTGAAGGTGGTTGTTGGGTTGAATTGGGTCAAGCAGGGGAGCAGCTTTTTCCTGAAATGATTCGTGAGCAGCTCATCGATGTTGACCTATTTGATTCTTTGAATTGCAGAGCTTTAGAACTAAGACATATTGACTAGCGAAGGAGCTCTTCCTCGGTGCAGAACTCAGAATAGAGCTTCAAAGTGTCATTCCAACTTCCATTCTGCAATCTATCGCTCGGCCAATACATCGCTCATCGTGCGAACCCTATAAGAACCCAGTCAATCTCTTCCGCCCATATACCTCAGATCTTAGATCACTGTGAATGAGAAAAGACATCCTTGTGGTCAGACCGTGCATCAGGGCTAGTGCTCAAGCCTCTCCCAGTCCTCAAGAACGTAGGTTTCCGTTGAAATCGATCGCGATTATTGCTGAACCAGTGGCACTACGCTAAGCTGCGTTCATACTTTGCGGCAGCATCCACCACCGACCACTAGCATTCCGAGGGTTCGGCGGCGTTAGCGACTAAGAAAGTATAATATTCTAGCGTTTGCCAGCGTCTGGATGGCTACGGAAGCATGAGTATCGTTCTAGCGTCTGTCAGCGTCTACCAGCGTTCACCAGAGTTCACCAGCGAGAGGGAGTAGAGAGTATGAGGAAGTAGGAGGGCAGCAAACAGCTGGAAGCAGGTTGCGTTTGCACCGCAATCGCACGACGCCTGACCCAGCTGTTTCCTACCCTCCTGCTTCCCCATACTCTCTACTCCCGCTCGCAAACGCTGATGGACGCTAGCAGACGCTGGAAGACGTTGGTAGTCTTTCCTAGTCGCTGACGCTGCCAGACGCTCGGAAGGCTAGTGGTCAATGGTGGGCACTGGTAAGCGCTGATGACGCAAAGTATGAACGCAGTCTTGAAATTCAAAGCGAGGAGATGCGCCTTGTGTCCCGTATCCTTCTTTAAAAGGCAGCGTAGGTCATGGAAAGTTACCGTCGAAAGCTGTTTCACCTCATTCTGCTCGAGGGAGGAAGCAGCAAGTTATGATCTAGATGTT